TCTAGTCAATATCATAGCAGGCTACTTACAGTGCCATGTTGCTCATAGATGTCCCTGCATATACTTCTGGTGGGGACCCTGAGGCCACGTTATACTTTAGTCTTAGCCAGTTTGTATTGTTGTGATAAAGATATAAATAAGTAAAAATAAATAAGAAAAAGACCAAAATTTCACCATCTCTAAAATTAGATGGATAATAAATATTGCCAGGCAAACAAAGCCATAATTTGACCAACCAATCAGAAAGCTTTCACAACCACTATATAAGAAAATAAATAAACAAATAATAACAAAGAGGGCAGAATTTCACCATTTCTAAAAAGTCAATAAATTAATTTTGTCCATTGTCTGATGATGTGGTCCTTGCAACATACCCAGAGATGAAATACATTTGCACAACTAGCTGGCAACCTTACATGGCTTAACCATTCCTTGCTATATTGAAAACAAATATATCTTCCTTCATCACATGAACAAGTGGTGGCTACTACATTGGGATACAAAACATCCATAACTCCTATACATATCTATAATTACATTCTTTCTCTCATTCTCTCCTCCATGCATATTCAAAAATCCCCCACCATAGTATTATCATAGAAAGTGATAGTTATTTTGGTCTTTTTCTCCCTAAAATATAATCATCTGATGACATTTACAATGAAATGAAATTCAAGTAAACCAGTAAACAAAAATCACTAACCCCCACCTCAATCATTTTTCTCCAATATTTGTGGTATTTGTCCCAATTTACTCTATTATAGAAACTTTTCTCTTGAAATCTTAGCACTTTGCAAAACTAATTTAAATTCTTCTATCACTATCAATGAATTGTCTGTTCCAGGTTATCTTCCATTTTTTTTTTAAATTCTAGAAAACATATGTATGACCTGGGTGTTTACATGCAGGAAAATCTTCCAATGGGAAGGGAATCATCTTCTGATGATTCATTCATGTGGTTTTGACTTTTTTGCACTTATCTGACTCTTTTACTACATACATTTGCAAACATTTTTCGTTTGGTGATTTTAATGCTCATCATGTCAAGTGGCTTAATTATTCTAATGTTACTGATGTTGCTGGAATTCAGACTTTCAGTTTTTGTCTCTCAGTCAAATAGTGGATTTTTGACTTGTTTCCCCTAATAATTCTGATGAACATGCTTCTTTACTGCATCTCCTGGCTCTTGTTAAGCATTGTGATGTTGTTCTCTTGGCAATTTTGATTGAACTGTTATTTTTTCTTTTGACAGGAGCTGCCTATTCACAAAACTTCTTTCTGTTGCCAGCATAAAGATTGTGATTCATTTCATGAATTTCTTTGAGATGCCTCTTGGATTGATATTTTTAACTTTCCTATTGAGAATTGTACCACTGAGGTTTCTTCTTGGGTTAAAGCTGGCATAGATGCTTTTGCACCTTCTCAGAAATACAAGGTGAAACCACAATCTTCTCCTTGATTCACACTTGCCTGTTCAGCCATTATAGCCCAGAGGGATCACTTTTTCTGGCTGTACCAACATGCTAGTTCTGATTATAACAAATGCCTCTTTGCATTTACTCATAATAATTATAACCATGTTCTCAAAGAGGTTAAATTTTTGTTTACTGATAAAATGAAGTACTGTACAGCCTCTATCAAATTTGGTTCTTGTGACTACTGGCAGCTCTGTAATAGTGTGTTAAATATGTGTAAGTTTTCTATCCCCACTTTCTTCATTCAGTTTGAGGCGTGAACATCAGCTAATAAAGTAGAATGTTTTGCTTGTAAATTCTCTTTAAATTCTACTTTTGTCTCATCTAGTGAATCTTTGCCTGATTTTCCACTTAGAACCAAATCTCTATTTTATGATATGCATGTAACTGTCAATGGTTTCTGCTATCATCTCTAAACTGGATCCCCACAAAACATGTGGACTTGATGCTATCTCTGCAATAGTCTGTAAGAAATGTGCTCTTGAACTGGCTTCTGGTCTCTCTAAACTCTACAATAGATGCCTTAATGCTTCTTGCTTTTCTTGCTTGCTGGAAATCATCTTCAATAATTCCAGGCTTTAAGAACTCAATAAGTCATCTGATTCTTCTATTGCCCTATTAACATTCTACATTTTTTTGGCATTAGAGGCTCTAATCAACTCTGAATCAATTAAGCATCTCACCTCACAGGGTCTTCTTTCAGCTAAGCAATATGTCTTTCACTTCTCTAGGTCAACTTTTGATGCATTAACGATTATTGCTAAAAGTGTCTATCAATGACTTTCTTGATTTCAGTTCTCAACACAGTATCTTTGCTGATGACACAACTATTTACTCCTGTTTTAATAAGTCTGATCTTAAAAATTGGCAGCTGATCTAAAACATGACCAACAATCTGTTAGCTTAAACAAGAAATGGCTTGTTAATTTTAACAGCTCCAAAACAAAAGAGAACATTTTTGTCTTCTATCAGCATAGCTGATGCTAACCTCCAGGAGAGTGACTCATTGTTTCTTCTTGAGCTAACATTTTCTGCTAATATGAAGATTATATTGAATCAATTGCTAGGTCTTATGCTAGGAAAGATGGTTCACTGTATTGTGCTAGGCAATTTTTCTTGCCAGAATCTTACACATTTACAACTCTGCCATTTCTCCATGCATTGAATATTGCTGCCACATCTGGTATGGTGTATCTGCTAATGTATTTAGAGATTCTAGATAAAATACAAAGATAAATCTGCAATGTTATTGGTCCTGAACTGGTATCTCAGCTTCAGTCACTTTTCTATGAATATTTTCATTGTAATTGTTCTGATGAGCTTTCTTCTTTCATATCTAGACTTTATTAATTTAAGTACAGGACTAGAGTGGTGGCAAAGTTTCTTTCCTTGCACTACTTGCTTGTGGAACTCTCTTCTGGCTTTTTGCTTTCCACTCAACTTTGATCTTCAAAAATGCAATGTCAATCGTTACCTTCTGTCTTCTTTATTCCTGTTCTTTTATTGTTCACTGTCTTTAATGTTTCTTTTTCTCATATTCTCTCACACTCAGTGATACCTTGAGACTTTGTAGTTTTATTATCTTAAAATAAATAAAAAAAACATATAGAGGATGATTGAAAAGCAACTCCCTATTTTATGTATGATGGACTCTCCTGTCTAACTGTAATTTTTACATGATGAGAGAGTTCATTGTACGTAAAATACGAAGTTACTTTTCATTCACCTTACATATATAAATATATATTTTTGTGATTTCTTCTAAATAATTTACTTGATATTTCCTTGCATATGACTAATTAATTTAACAGATATAATTTGCCAAATTTTAATGAAAAAAGAAATCTTCTATATTAACTGTTATTAAGCAATACCTCAAAATTGTGAGAAGAGCAATAGAGATTGGTCTGGAAATTAGAATTGACAAGCTGAATTCAAATTCCAGCCTAGTTTCTTGTATTTACATTTACACAAATGCTTTTAGGAAAGACATGAATCATCTCTTCTACCCTAATAAGCTATGATTTAAATAGCAGCATAGTCTACCTAACCCTGGATGGCAGCCAGTTTAGGAGAAGGCTAATTCTGAATTATAGACTGTGGAGAAGGTAACAGGAAACCACACCACTATGTTTCTCAAAAAGTCATGACACTTCACAGATAATATAATATAAAGCTGTAAAAGGCTATAATCATATATTCCCTGAAACAAAAAGACATTTAAATAAACAATAGATGTAACCATGATCTAAGCCTAAAAAAACAGATTATGATATCTAATTTGTTTATCACACCAGTATGCAGTATATTGATGAGCCAAAATATGACCATCGGCATATGGTAAAAATGATAGTTATTAGATACATAAGCAGGTAATCTAGCTTAAAGTGTTTAATCATGAGCTGAATGCCACAGTTATGACTAAGGAAGATTTGAATTATTATTATTTATTATGGACAGAAGACTGGGTCAGGGAATTTTTGAAATGGCATGTTTTGCAAGGTGCTCACATTTAGTTGTGATGAGTTCCTATCAGCAGAAGACCATGGTGAAATAATCACCATCCACCACCATGGTATTAAAGAGTGAAGAAATGTCAATGCAGGAAGTGAAGAGGTTTTTTTCCACCAAACATGAGCAAAGGGAATGGCTGCTATGGCACAAATTACAGATAGATTTAATCAAAGTGAGGGATGGAATTTATCACAACACCCAATACATTGATCTATGTGAATTCAAACATCAGTACTGATCTTATGAGTTTCAATTTCTCTTGTATAGCATAGTACATTGTTATCCTGAGTAAGTAACTGCAGTAAGATGAAATTTGGGAAGCAACAATCCAGAGGCGACAACTTCGTTGTATCTACAGACCTCTGTTTTTTGTTCACCTGACAAGTGAAAGTTATTGATGCCAACTCATTTTAAATTTCTCTTTTCAGTATCTTTAATATGGATTCAGTTTTTCTGCATGAATAAACTTATTGTGACATACAGATTCAATTGATATGTAGTTTAAGTTTTTCTCTCAAACAGATATATTTTTGTGATTTTGTTACCTCTGAGTTTTTTAGTAAGACAATGTACAAGTTGTGCAGGAATGTATTTTAGAAATATGAAGAAGATATTGCTATGTTGTCCTGGTCACCAAACTCCCCCATTGAGTGCTTACAGTATATACTATACCAACAATTTTGCTTTGTAGAGTTTCTCTCACATAACTTGCAGCTGTTAAAGAACTTGCTGCTACCATTCTTGGCACCAGATTCCAGAGGTCATATAGAGTGTATGTTAAAATCAGGTAAGAGTTGTTGTGTGGGAACAGGAAAGACTCAACATCTGGTTAGGTAGGTGATAATAATATTTTGGTTTATCCATGTTTAGAATTACTTTAATTGGTAAATACTTATACTGATACATTTTAATCAGTTACTTTAAATTACTTTATACATAGACAACAACATTTTATATTACTTTTTCTTTGATTTTGAAAATTGGAAAGCAAGAAGCATATTTTTTATTTACCTGGTGACAAATGTACCATTTCTTTGAAGTGACTGTTTACAAGGCCTTTTTCAATCTGCTGCTGTAATTCTCTTCTTCGAAACTGGTCAGAAGATGGAGTTGTGAAAGGTAGTTTTCCAACCAGCATTGCATAGAAAATTATCCCCCTGTTATAGAAAAAAGTTACAAAATTAAAATCAAAATAGTCATTTGGAAAGTTGAATATGCTTGAAAATAAACATTGAGAGAAAATTAAAATGTTATTTATTTCTATTCAAAGATTCTTTCAAAGGAAGCAGAACCTTTCTTTTAAATTTTTAATACAAAGTATCAACTTATTTCTTCTTTTTGTACTAAAGTATGCATCCACTGAAATCATGATACTCAAGGAACAAAATGCATTTAATTTGTTAGAGAAAAAAATTTAACACTTATTACTGGGAATAATTAAAATCCACACTCTATTCAAACAAGTACCTTCAACTTGATTTACTATTGTGTTATTTAAAGAGTATTAATTATTTTGTTAGTCTATGTTTAAACATTTTTTTAATTTCTGTACTTTAGAGTAATTAATCTAAGCAAGAAATATTAATCTGTATAAAAAAAAGAAATAGTATAGAAACAATTGCTGATTTTAATCAATATTTCTGTTATTTCTGTAAAATGTCTTCATCTTCTTACTTGTAAACTGCATTGTCTTTAAAGAACTATTGGTTAGTTATTTTTTTTACTAAAAATGTAAGCAAATAAGTGAAACCAGCAAAAAAGTATTTAATTATCTAATTAGTATTCAGTTATTGTAAATTGCAATTACCATTAGTGGCTAAATTCCAAGTTATCTTCCCTTCTATAGCCAAATCTTATATTAAATGTTATAAATCAAAGTTGAGCATGAAATATTTTTAAGTACTGTCAGGAAAATGTATTTTTTAGAACCAGGATCTTATTATTATTTTTTTTAAAAATCAACAGAAGTTTTATATATCAAATTATTTTGCAAATTTGTAATTTATAAAAAGCAAACATTTTATAAAAGTTATACAAAACATGAAATGCTCTGTAGTCAACATTTATTTCATAGAAAAATTTATGAAGAAGAAAATAAAGATATATTTTTAATAGGTTTCATTTTTTGGGGAACAAAGAGCAGATTTAAAATTTAAGGTAAAAAAATACAGAGTAAACAACAAAAACTTTCAGTAATTATTTCTGTTAAGGTCAAGGAATGTTAACTTTGTAATTCAGACCAGAATGCTCATTTTGATTTATATACTCAGTGGTTTGCCTTTATTTAAACTCTATTTAATCTATGTGGGTAGATTATTCTCATTCAGGGATATTTCATATCAATCAATATACAACAGTCTTATTCACATCTGTGTCAAATGACTTTTTTCCACTTAACCAAAATATATTACTTTTCTTCCCTACCAAACCCAAGGATTGAACTCACAACTACCAGAGAGCCTAACATGTTTTAATCGATTAGGCCATGGACAATCTAGTGTTGAAACTTTGGAACCTTAAACCTAATGTTTGTAGTCACATAATGGTAATGTATGATAGTCTTGACTCAGGTGGTGAAATTTTTGCTGAGTGTCTTTTCTTTGTTAATCACAATTGCAATTTACCTGATAGTTGTGAATTCAATTTCTGGCCCTGGTAGTGTTGAAGTCCCATGCTTTTATTCTAATTGTATAAAGGTAAATAAGGTTGGTGAGTATTAACTGATACAAAATATTCAATAATTATGGAAATCTGAATTAGAATAATTTTCACTTGTGCTTTGAAATTCCAAAAAGGTGACAGAGTATTTTGAAGTAAGCTGGAGGGTATAATTTCCTGTATATTTTGAGTATAACAACCAAGATGAAAAGGTTATTATTGCAAAGCATAGAATATTTATAATTCCTTTTTAAAAATTCTGACAAAAATCAACTGAATTTGTATGTTCGTATCCATACTTATATATATAATATGCCAAGTATAATTGTTATTTTTTTTATAATTGTTAGTTTGTTTCTATAAGAGTTATCTCCCTTACATTAGCAAGTGGCAGTGTCCTTATGACACTAACAGACTGTTCCAAGATGAAGCCAGAATGACAACATAAATAATGGGATAAATACATTTAATACCTGACATGTGAAATAATAATAATAATAATAATAATAATAATAATAATAATAATAATCAGGAATTAACAAAATATGGCATTATTTTTTAAAAGCATGTGCAAATCAGTATATATGAGGGTGTATGAGAGGTTTTTGATTGACCCACTTCACATAATCTGACCAAATAACCAAACAGATTTTTTAACCCTTTCTTGGTCCAACTGAGAAATCTTTCTACAGTTCACATATATATTAGGTGTGTGCAAAAGTTCCCAGTGTTCTTTTTTAATACTCAAGAGAAATATGTTTTTGTTTGGAAGCTAGTAGTAAAAGAAATTTGACTTTCTATATCTATTAAACCAAGCATTACACAATCTTTGGGCATGTATCATAGACCAAATGGGAAAATATAAAATGAAGACTCCTTAATTGGTGTAATATCAAACATATAAGTTTCCTTCCTTCATCAAGTATACTTTTATCAGTATGGTAACTGAAATTTTATTGCTAATTTCAGTAAGGACCTCCAGCACCTGTTAATGTCTTGAAGTGTACCATTTTAGAAAATATTTTCAACTAGTTAGTGTGGACTATCAATCTTTTCACTGGTCAAATCTTAATGATTTCCATACTTTGGTGTTGGCTGGTGGAGGTAAGATGTTATACATTGTCATTATCAGGAAACTTATTCTTGTTGGGTGGTACCAAAGATATATATGGGTGGCCTCAGCAGTACCTGCTGTAGGTACAGTTATTTACCCAAGTATTAAAAAAAACAAAATAAAGAACAGCTAGGAAGAAATTGAAAAAATGTGAATCAAACGTTTTATTTTATCCAAAGAAAACATGCTAACTGTTGTATTGTGGTGTTCTACAACACATGATCAGTAGTTAAATTCCTCACTGTCTCTGAGTTTACTATACACTTTATATATCTATTCTACTTAACATATGCAAATACTATTTACCAATCCGTTACACAAACAAAATTTAGAAATATGTCACTGGCACTCTCACAAGCCCTGAAAAAGCAAGGCCAGCAAATATGTGTGCCTTTACTCACAATTCCAGCACCTCATTTTGTAAAAGGTATACTTTTTCAACATGATGGAGGAGCAATCCACTCTTCACAGCATTTATCTCAAAACTCCACTATCCAGATTGGTGCATAACTCAATGGCTGTTAAGGGTCACATGATCAGCTAAATGGGGGGGTATACTAATTAGGGGAGGGGAAGAAGAAGGAGGAGGATGAGGATGTGGAGGAGGAGGGAAACTATCCAATATTCTTTTTAGGTTTATCTGTTTGATATCACACCATGTAATTAGTCTCCATTTTATTTTGCCATTTAGTCTATGCTGCTTCTTTTGAATTTCTGACAAAAGTAAGGAGACATTCACTCTTCTTAATATGGAAAATCTCTTCTGTCACCAGACTCATTCTGAGGAGTAGGAGGAGGTGGAGGAAAAGTTAGTGGTTACAATGATAAATTAACCATATTAAAGAGAAAATCCATTTAAATTTTTAGTATATCTTTTTATTTATTTTTATTTACAGCAAGGTTCACCCTTTACAAAGCCCAGTGGCCACTCAAGGTAAAGGGTTACATTTGGAGGCCATTTGTGCATATTGAAGTGGAAGATAATGAGTAACTCTAGCCTTGTAACAATTGGGGAAACATCCTGTTGGGTGTTGGTTCCACAGGGCAGTGGTTTGTGGGAAGATACTGCTCGATTGGAACTTACATCTCACAAATGGAATTTGGAGGTTAGTGTGGGATGTAAGTGGCAAGGTGTGTTCTTGCTGTGAAGGTTTGCTTTGGTGGGACCAGGGAGTGTAGTCCATCTGAGTACTCTGTGGAAGTAACAGTAGAGTAGCTAGAGGCTTGCCACATCCCACCTGTGGGAGAGAGATTGAAGGGTGGAGAATAATTCATCACCCACAAGGGCTTGGAGATGCTTTTGAACTGTATCAATGCTGTACAGTGAGATCTGGGCAGCACCCACTCAAATATGACAACAGTACTCCATTTTGGGTCTGATCTGGCTCTTGTAAAGGTAGAGGATAGCAGGAGAATGCAGAAACTCATGTATGACAAGCTGATATATGATTTTCTGAAAAATCGTTATATGTCTGGTTGAGATATGATGTTCAGAAAATAATGTATCAAAATAATAAGTCGGTGTTCTACTGATAGATTATTCTATATTAGCAAAAAAAGGTGTGTTTCTTTTGCTTAGCATCTGTTTTTATTTATTATTTAGTCAGTTGAGTTAGCTCAGACATTCATAAGTCTATCACACCAACCATCACAGTCCTGGAACTAGGTCAGAAGGTCATTAGGGTAGCATTCTGTGTCATAACATAGCTGGTCAATGTAGGTGGTTGTTGGGTAACCAACTTGTCTTGCTCCTGTCCAGAACAGTAGATTTTGCAAGATCTTGATTGGTTCACAGGCAGTGACCTGCAAAGTGCATTCTGCATTCATGTAAGATTGTAGAAATATCTGGGATGTGTCCATAGAGTTGTGATTGAGTTGGATGATGCCTCCAGATGTTAAGTATAGCTCTCAGCATCCGAGTGTAGGTTACATCAAGCTTAGACTGTAGGGTTTTAGTTAATATCCTGGCAGTGGCACCATATATTAACACCACCTCTACAGTGGTTTGAAAGAATCACTGCTTGAGGTTGTCTAGTAGATCAGATTTCCAAATTACATCCATTTTATTCAAAGTGGCCCAGGCTTTAGCTATGTGAATTTTCCCATCCTTTTCAGCAGAATTTATTTCACTTTCAGGATGGCAGTCAGGTGTAGATGGCATTATATGATAAACCTGCTTTTATACAGCTCTCTTTTCCCTTAGCCTTACCATAATTTACAAGTCCTAAAATGAAAAATTTATCAATTTTTTATTATAGTTATATTATTTAGTGTTTTATATTTTTATAAAATTATTTTATAAATATTTTATTTTATAAATTATCTACATTATTTATAGTGTTTTGTATTTTCAGAACCTAACATCAGGTCTGACACAAAAAAATA